TGGTCTGGGATCAGCAGCATTGGCATCCTTGGGAGGCTGTTAGAAACACAGATTCTTGGGCCCCACGAGACCTGCTATATCAGAATTTTACATTGCAATAAGATGCAGAGATTTGCTGCACCTCCAGCGGAGAAGCAATGCTCTGGAGCACCATTGTCCAGCATTTTCTGCTATAATGGAAATGTTTTCTATCCAAGCTAATATGGTAGCCACTAGCCATACGTGGCCGCTGAGCACTTGAAATGTAGCTAGTGCAACTGAGGAACTGAATATTTAATTTTATTTAATTTTAATTCATTTTAATTTAAAAAGACACATGGCAAATGGCTACCACATTAGACAGTGTAGCTCTCTAGCATATCTGCATGTACTTGCAAGCAAGGGGTCAAGAGGTGACCACTACAGCCATATCCACAAAGCCTGCCAAGACAATCCGTCTGTCATTCCAACATGTAGAATGACCTGAAGAAGGGCCAGTCCTCTTCAGCTGCCTCTCCCAGAATATCAAGTATGGAACCTGAGTCTCCAGGTTGACACTGCTAACCATTCTGGTTCCTCTTTTGATTGGGTTTCCAAAACCCACCCCTCAGTCATTCCCAGCTCTCTAGAGTTTTCCTAGTGACTTCTTAGGAATCTCACTGCTAGACAAAAAAGGAGTCCACCAACCTCTGATGAGTGGCAGCTTCCAGGTTCCAGGGCACCTGAAGCCTGATGATTCTCAAAGGTGTGGTACAGGGGCACACTGATCTGGTGAGGGGAGGGCCCAGAGCTTGCAACAGACTTTCAAAAGGGCCTATGATTCAAACATGGGTTAAGGACCCTGAGAGGAAGGAAGAACTTTGGAGCCTGCCAGTCCTGACAGAGGAGTCCTCAACTCTAGTCTGATAACCCTCATAAACTCCTCAAAAAGGTAGTTGAGAGAAGCAAATGAAATAACCTGTGAACTGTATATAAACTGTAAAATGTTGTAAAATTTATTATTATAAAAAAATAAGACTACGCATGATAGAGCAAAATACTCAGACAATCCTTGGCAAATGAGATAAAACTTTCTGCTTTACTGTCCCATACAAGAAAGGAATGAGAACGTGATGAGTGAAAGGTCCAAATCAGAAGACATAGAGCTGTCCCTTCTCCAGGAAGAGCTCAGGGTGTAGCTGACGAAGGTCAGAAGATGGAGCATTCCCTCCCCCAGGAAGCCTCCAGCTGACTTGGGCTGAATCTAAACTAAGATGGTGCCTTCCTAAGTACCCGACGTCTCTCCACTATCTGTGTAGCCAGACAGAAGAACAATACAGAGTTCACTATTCTGACTATTCAGCTATAATGACAAAATGAATTATAATAATGCAGAAAGGTGTACGTAAGACTCCAAGTTTAAGGAGAGTAGGTGCGTTTTCCTTCTTTAAACACACTTATGGTGACAAAACAGGTTGAGAAGAGGGCCTCACATCTGAGACGAACAATGCCTTCTTTCTAGATAGTCGAGTTTAACTGTCTCCAGGGGCTACAGGGGTCAGCAGGCACATTGAGAGAGGGCAGAGTCAGAAGAACTTGCGAAGGCCTCATCCAGTCAGCTGATCAGGAGAGACACAATCTGCTTCCCCTCCCAGGTTGATAATCCACCAGGCTGCAGAGTCTGCTGTGAGGAACAGACCCATCCAAGTTGTTTTCTCCAGAGTGGAGTAAGTGGCCCACCTGAAGAGTGAAGACTATTGTCGGGATTTGGGTGACTTTTAGGGCCCTGAATTCATCTAAAGCCTATGTCTGAAGAAGTGGGACAGATTTGAAGCTTCTAACATCTCAAAATAAAAGCCCAAGGGGTCTTTGTACCTCAGAAAGAAACCAGGAACCAGCTACCTAACAGCTATGTTGTCAAGCATGTATATTCAATTTCTTAGCCTTAAAAGAAAAAGAGCTCTCTTAGAACAGCAAAGAAGAGATGACTGCATTCCATTCTAAAGCCTATCTAGGGGAGTCTAGAATCTCAAGATTGCTATAAGAAAAAAGCAGCAGCCTCGGGGCTGTGCTGGGGTGACAGATGCCTGAGGAAGGCCACATCTGAGCAGAGCTCACTCTGTAAGCAACTCCCCGCCTAGAACAGAAGGAACACAGTAGTTCCATAAACACCCAGAGCTCTGCCTCTGTAGTTCCTGGGTGTAAAGAGCCCATTTCCCCTAGCACAGCTCCTACTTATCCTTCCAGCATCTCCTAAGTGCCACAAAGCTTCACTGAATGCTAAGTGCCTGGCATTGCGCACAGCCCTGGGGATACACAGGAAACTACAACCAAGGCCCTGCTCTTAGACTAGACAGTGCATCACAGAAGGGCACCTTCTCCTGGCCCAGCTCTTTTCTGCCAGGAATTATCTTTACTCAGCATACTGCTGTTATGACAACTATTTATAAATTAGTCACCCCCACACACTATTTCTCAATGAGCTCAGAGAACATCTTAGCCATCTTGGTTTCGCTAGCACCTAGCACAATGCTCCAAAAAGTAGAAGGAACATGGTGATGATGGTGGTGGTGCTGGTGGTGGGGTGATACTCCTAACTTTTCAGATAGAGGCTATAAAACTGCAGGAAGAGTTGACCCTCCTCAAGAAGCAAGGGAAGGAAAGTTTGAAGAACAAAAACATGCCATATCTACCTTTTACTTTGCCTCTTCCTTCCTGGGGCTGCTATTCACCTGGCTTTGTAACCTCTCCTCACTAAAGGGCTCTAGTGACTGCACAGCCCACACCACCAGACCCTGGTCGCATCCCCAGGACCATCCTTCACCCCGAAACAGACCCCAATCAACAAGGCCTCATCCTCCAAAAGGACTTCCTTCAGTCCTTTCCTATTTTCTAACAATTCAAGCAGGGCCCAAACACGATGGGCTGCCTTGTGAAGCAGATTTTACTAGTTGCGCCTGGCTGACAAATGGTGGCTGGAGGCAAGTGAGACAGGTGGTTTTAAAACTGCTGGGATTTCCCCACCGCAACTGAAATAAAATCCAAACTCCTTCCTGAGACTTGCAGACTCAGAGTGATCTGATTCAAGCCTCTCTCCAAAATCACCCTGGGATGTTCAGTTCCTGATCCTGCTTTCTTCCCACTCTTTCATCCCACCTGAGGGCCTCTGAAGGTGCCATGACATGCCCTCTCCACAGCCTGCTCTTCTTCAACTGACTTCCAACTGCATGCCATCCTCTTCCTTACAGTTTTTCTCACGACTTATTTTTTGCTACTTATTTTCTGAGCTTGAGAGCAGCGACTATGTCAGCACCAGGCTCGGCGCCCTGCACATAGTAAGTGCCTAAGTAAACATTTGCCAAACTAATAAAAAAGGGGTCCTCCGTCCCCACCTAGCTCCCCCACTAACCATTTTACCTGATGGTTCCCACACCAAGTCACCCCATCTCTTCATTCCCACAACTCACTCTCCATTACTCTCTGCCCTCAAAACTTCCCACCCTCATAAAATCCCACTCACCCACTCGTCCATCCTTCATAAATCCCGTGTACAAGCATCTCTCAGCCCTTACACCCCCTTTCACCATGAACTTCCCCAGCCACAAACTCCCCTTAAACCCCCTCCCTGTCGCCCCAGGACGCGCTCCTAAAACCCATCACACACTGCTCAGCCCCATAAGCCTTCAAGTCGTTCCATTTACACCCCAGAAATCCATTCGGCCGCAGACCCTCCTTCAGGCCTCCCCAAGACCCCAGATCTCCACCCCCCTGAGACTCACCCATGCTCTTACCCCGCGCCCTCCTCACCTCTCGCGCCCCGAGCCGACCCGGCCCTGGCACCCTCGGCCCGCCCTCTTCACTGCGGCAACTTTGGTGGCCCCCGCCCCCGCCGAGCCTGCTCAGCACCTGGCCCACGCCTCGTCCAGGCTCTGGTAGGTGAGGGCCTCGATCGGCTGCAGGACGTCGCCTGTGTCGGGGCCCGGCGGGGGCCCGGGCGGCGCAAGCCGGGGGGCGGAGCGGGGTGCTGCCGGCGCGGCGGGGCGCCCATGGGCGGCGGGGTCCCGCAGGCGCTAAGGAGGAGGCGCCGGGAAGGGGCGCTAGCTCGTGCCCCGCCGCCTCCAGCCAACGGCCGCCAACCAGGCGGCCGCGCACCGCCCACGGACAAGCTCCACCATCGCCGCCAGCCAATCGCAGCGGCCCAGGGCGCCGCGCACCGGACACGCCGCCACCAGCCCCCCTCAAAGGCCTAAGACTCGGTTGGGGGTTGCCGAGGCAACGGTGCTTCTCACCGCCACCGTCCTCCCGCCCCAAAAAGGGCGCCGCCGGCTTCGCTTTGCTTCAGAGGCCCACACCCCGACGTCTCCGCCTCTCGCTCCTCCTCAGAGCAGCTACTCCTGCTCAGAGACCTTACTCCTCCTCAGAGCCGCACGCTTCTGAGAGCCCCACGGTTCTCCTCAGACCCCCACAGTTCCCTTCAGAGCCCCACAGTTCCCCTCAGAGTCCCACCGTCCTCCTCGGGGCCCCACAGTTCCCCTCAGAGCTCCACCGTTCTCCTCGGAGCCCCACGGTTCCCCTCAGAGCCCCACCGGCCCCCTCAGAGCTCCACCGTTCTCCTCGGAGCCCCACGGTTCCCCTCAGAGCTCCACCGTTCCCCTCAGAGCTCCCACACCTCCTCAGAGACCCCCCATATCTCCTCACAGCTCCCCACTCCTTTTCAGAGCCCCCCACTCCTCAAAGCCCTCACTCTTCCTCCTTAGAGCGCCCACTCCTCAGGGACCTCACTTCTCCTCAGAGCCCCCACTCTCCCTCAGAGCCCCTTACTCTTCTTCAGAGGCCCTCATATATCAGAGCCACCTACTCCTCTGGGACCCACACAACTCAGAGTCCCCAATTCTCAGAGCACCCCACTCTTCCTCCAAGCCACCCCTTCCTTCTTAGAACTCTCCATGGCTCTGAGAGCCCCATCAACACGTCCTCCCTCCCCTGCCATTCATCTCCAGAAGCCTCAAGCCCCAGACCCCTGCTCAGTCCCCTAATGTTACCCTCAGCCTCAGCCCCATCAGGTGGGTCACTAGGGCTCCCAGCTTCCTGGATCCACCTCCACCACAAGCGTTCCATGAGGGGCACAGGTGTTTGGTGCTGGTGGCTGGGTTAGAACCGAGTGATTTTCTCAGCTGCAGAAATCAATTCTATTTACCTTTTGAGGTTTGGCATAAGAGTGACCTCACCTGTTTATTCATTCTCTTGCTCTACAGCATTCCGGGCCTAGAAAACTGCTAGCGTGTGGTTACCCAATGAATGAACGATGCTTCCTGAGAATCTACACTGCAGTGCACCCCAAGTCAGAGCAAATCTTCACAGGTCTTTGTTTCTAGCCGTTGGGACTCAAGGCATCAGAGAAGGATCCTCGCATGAGAGAAAAGGGACAGACTGGGCATTAATCACTTTTCCAAAGTCATGGGACCTCCTAGAGCCTGTTTGCTCTGAGGACAGACTCCAGATGCAAGCTCATAAGGGGTCCTCGCTGGGAACCCTTCAGGACAGGGCCCAACTTCTTCCCATTGTTGCTGGAGAGGAAATGCAAACACCATCTGGTGTGATTGGATTGGGAAGACTCCAAGAGACAGCAGGGAATGGAAATGAGTGATGTGAGCCAGTATAAGAACAACCTAGAAAGCTCCCTGATGAAGGAAACCTAACACTTGGCCCCAGTAACACGAAGTACTAGAACATGTGGGCGCTATGGTGAGCCTGTGCAAAAGGTCAACTGCTTGTGCAGCACTGCACAGCACGCCTGAAAAGTAGTGGGTAAGTTTGGTCTCCTTCAGAGAACAGTAGTGGGGAGAGAAAGTTGAAAGCTTCAGGGACCAGCAGAGACAAAAACATGAAGTCACTTGGTGTAGAGGAGAGACCTCCAAGAGAGGAAAAAATGTTGGGCCAAAATCCCAAAGAAGATCCGAGTGTGGGTTAGAACCTGGAGGATGCTGATCAAGAGCAGCCAGCTCAGAGCAGGTGAAACACAGAGCTGCCTTTTGGAGGCCAGTGGGGGTCCCCACCCCATAGAAATTGGTCGGCTGCCTTGGCACCCAAAGTTGCACGTGTGTCCAACAGTCCTGGAGCTCCATGGAGGCAAGGACTGCATCTTTCATGGGCGTGTGCCTGGGCACATGGTGAAAGGTGCTGGCCTGGGTCATCACCCCTGGAGATTCAGGCCCTAGGCCTTAGGAGCCATACCGCCCACCTTGGACCCTGGAGAAGTACCTAGCACCCCAGTGCATTCTTGCCTCCTCATGGAGTTGCCTTAGGGCGGGGGGAGTTTTCTCAAAGAGAAACCCAGCCCCATTTAATGTAGAAAGACTCAGATGTTTTTGGTTCTTCAGGAATGTGTGCTTTTGTAGTTTAAGAAATGGCCTCTGATGGGATGACTGAGTTCAAATTCCAGCTGTTATTTAGCATGTGAACCTGAAGTAGAGATATAACCCTGTCTCCTCCCTGGTGAGGCAGAAGCAGAGAATCTAGATCCTGGTCTACATCGAGTCTAGCAGCGTGCCTCTATGAGCATCTGAGATGGGGCTTATCAGGGGTCTAGCATGTCTGAGGCCTTGCGGGGCTGTGGGTGAGGTGGGGAAAGCTGGCCTGAGCTTGTGACCAACTCCAGACTTTGTGGGAATCTGAAGCCTTTCCCCAGGGGCCTCTAGTCCCTCGATGCATCTCTGTGCCCTTTCAAAGCTGTGTAACCATGGGCCAGATCTCAACCTCTCTGAGCCACTGTCCTCACATGAAAATAAGTGTAATACCTGTGCCAAAAGATGCAGGTGATGATTAAAGAATCCATCTAAAGTGCCTATCAGTGTGCCAGGCACATCAGAGGAGCCTGAGAAATGGCAACTCTCAAATCCTGCATCCTGCTCCATGGACCCCACTATGCTTGGCTCACAGGTGTGTATGTAGGTGGTGGGGTGGGCAATGGGATGGACATACCTGACTATTCACAACCTGGACTCAGACAAAAGGGCAGGCAGGAGAGGGTGGGCTCACACAGGTCAGAGAGCACTCTGGACTCCAGAGGACGGAAACAGACAGGTGAGTGGCGAGATGAGGCAGAGGAACAGGCAGAGGAGACAGAGGCAAAAGGAAATGGATGCAAGAATCCAACAAGAGAGATGGAGTGACAGCCACACAGAGACTGAAGACGAATGAGAACAGAGCCAAGAAAATGCCACTTTGAAGGATCCCAGCCCAGCCCAAGCTAAGGTGGACAATTCTGGGATACAGGGACAGAGACTAAGTTGATGGCAGAATGCTTTAGAGATCTCAAAGCAGAAAGAACGGTTTTCTCCTTATATCATGCCCTTCCTGTGGACCCCCTCAATTCTAATGGGGACAGGCAAGACCCCCAGAGGCTGCAAGGGGCCACAAGTCTTTCCCAGCTCACTCTCAGAACCCCTCAGTCTGTGCCCCTAAAGAATCAGCCTCAGGCAGATGGTGCATCTCCGTTCCGTCCTTGTTACTCTGCTGCACTGGGCAGTGAGGCCTGAGAGTGCCCTCATCTTTTCCACCCTTAACACCCATACCACCACGGACGAGATAGCAGTCCACAGAGTTTACCAGGGATATGCAGTAAAAATAGAAAAATGTCCATTAAAAAAACCCACAACCTGAGATGATTGAAGACCCAGATTTCCGCTCCCCATCCGACTCTCTCTGGAGTGCTTAGAGATGACCCCAAACACCAGGCCCTGGGGCAGGCAGAGCTGTTGCCTAGGAAGGGCTGGCAGTGGTGCCGTGCCACGTCAGACTGAGGGTCCGCCTTTCAGTCTGTCCCGCAGATTGGGTAGGGCCAGGTGCATCCAGAAGTGGTGAGGTGCTGCGATCTGTTGCTTGCTGCACCCTGCTGAAGTCTGAGGTTGGCTAAAGGGTGGAGTCCATCAGGGGGTGGCCATTTTCAGGAAGCATGATGCGAGTGCTAGGGCCTGTCCGGGTGGAGGGTGTGTAGCTGGCAGACTCGTGGGTGGACCGGCGGAGGCAAAGACAGCAGAGGAGGCGGCGGAAGGTGCGACGCATCTCAGCATCACGGCACGAGTACACTACAGCGTTGACCAGTGAGTTGGCCTCAGCTAACAGTAGGAGATACTTCTCCACAGCTAGAACATTGCAGGACTTGCAGCCCAGACCATCCAGGAGCAGTACCACCTGGCCCGGCGTCCAGCAGACCACGAATGCCCCTGTGGGATGGAGCCTGAAGTGAGAGGGGCTAACCGTTGGGGGGCCCAGCACCCACAGCTCTGAGCTCAGGGCTGGAGCCGTCTCCAGGGCTCGGGCAACAGCTGTGCAGTTTGCGGGGTAAGAGCTTCCTGTCTGGCTGCCTGGGCAGTGTGATGGGGCAGAACTGCTAAGAGGGGACACCTTTCTCTGATTTGTCTGCCAGAAGGGACACCTTTTCTAACTGGTACAAGGTGGCCAGGGCCCTGGACATTTCTACATGGACGTTTGTTCTATGGGGGAAGGAGGTCACCGTGGGACAGGCTGGTTATTTGAGGGGGAGGGGATCTTTGGGAAGAGTCGCTCTTTGTTCTTGGAGGCAGGGGTGGGTATCCCATGACGAGAGGATCTTACTCCCTCCCCCACTCAGATCATCCTACTTTCAACGGCCAGAGTGAACAAACACACTACTCTCTGCTAAAAATCCTTAAGGGCTTCCCGTGGAACTCAGAACAAAATCTGACTCCTGTCTGTGTCTTTTGAGGCTGTGCTGACCTCTCCTGTGCATGGGCCAGCCACGCCCGCCTCCTCTCTTTTTTGAAGGTGCTGCCCGGGGCTTTCACTTTCTGTTCCCTCTGCTTGGAACTCTTTTCCCTTCCCCAGCATGTAGGTCTCTGCTCAGATATCACCTCCTTGGAGAACACTGCCCACCCAAACCATCCCCTCCCATCACACTCTATCAGGTCCCTGGGAGTTGGGGCAAGTGGGCTCCCACTCACCCAGGATGATGACAACAGTCTTGACCAGGTTGAGTGTGGTCTCGCGGTAGCGGGGGTGGCAGCTGACATGCTCTGCCATGCGCTGCACTCGCCGCCGCACGTAGAAGAAGATGCGAGTGTAGACAGCCACCATGAGCAGGAATACAAGCAGGCTGGACAGGGCCCAGACGGCCAGGTAGGAGCGGCTGAGCAGGGGGGCCATGCGTGAGCAGCTGTCCAGAGCACAGAGGCAGTGCCAGGAGTGGGCAGGCAGCAGCCCCAGGCCCAGCGCGGCCACCCACACGCCCACGATGAGCATGACCACCCGGCCGCGGGGAAGACGACTGTGCAGCTGGACGGCCATCACGCTGCGGTGCCGCTCCACGGCAATGGCCAGCAGTGTGGCCACCGATGCTGTTAGGCTCGTGTCCAGCAGGCCCTGCCGCAGGAACCAGCCCTCGAGTGAGAGCCGGGCTGTGCGAGGGCCTGTGTGGAACATGAGGAAAAGGTAGGCCACTCCAGCAAAGAGGTCAGCTGCAGCCAGGTTGCCGAGTAGGTAGTAAATGGGCTGATGGAAGCGGCGGTTGGAGGCGATGGCCGCAATGACCAGCAGGTTGGTCAGCAGCACCAGCACGCTGACTGTCAGCCCCAGCGCCACCACAACTACATCCTTGGGCCGCCAGTGGGAGCTGAGCTCCTTGCCACTGTTGTTGTAGAAGAAGCTGATGGTCTCGTTGTAGTAGCACTGGCCCATGGTTACCATCTGGGGGCACAACCGGAGAGGTCAGTGTGGGTGGTGGTGGTTGGAAGAACACAGAAAGGGGCAGCACAGAAAGGAGCAGCAGCCAGAAGGGAGGGTCTCAAACTCAGATACCTGGGGCAAAGTGGTCATAGTGGGGACCAGGGTGACCTGGAAAAGCAGGCGGGATGGGGGAGTGGGGGTGTTGTTTGGGCACAGCTGTTGCTTATTTACTAATAAGATTCCTACAAAGACATCTCCCAAACCTTTTTGCCCACCCGCTGCCAATCTGTGACACGTGTGTGTTGGGAGGGTTTAGGGCAAGACAAGTAGGGGCGTGAGCTGTGAAAGTAGGTGAGGGAGGGTCGGTTTGGTGCTGGGGTCAGTGCAGGGAGCAGAGCCGAGGGGGCGTGTGTGCGCAAGGTGGGACCATTGCTGGGACCCTGAATGGGGTCAGTGCTAGGCCATGGAGGTGACCGGGGCGACCAGAGTGGGCAGCGGGCTTTGGGCGCGATTGAGCCCAAAGCGGGTGGGACGGAGGAGCCTGGTGGCCTCCGGGACAAAAGGGGCGGTCAGGGAGGCGGCGGCTGGCGGGCCTCCCGGCGCCCCCAGGCTGTGGGAGGAGCAGTGGGATAGGAGGAGGAGACAGCACCCGGGCCCTGCGGGCACGTGCCGCGCCCTGCCCGGGACCCGCACCCACCCGCCCCGTCCGTGCCGCCTCACCTGGGCCACCCGTCACGCCGCAGAGCCGGCAGCCTCGTGGGGGGTTGGGGCGCGCCCTAGACCCATGGCTCGGCGACCGCGGCTAGAGCGAAGGAACGTCCCGGTGCGCCGGCGCGGGCGACGGAGAGAGCGCGGGAGGAGGTGTCCTGCCCACAGCGCCCCGCCCTAGCCCGGGCCACAGCGCCCCGCCCCCGCCACCTGGGGAGTCCCGCCCCTACCACCTGGGGACCCCAGCCTCCGCGGCCGTGGCGAGGACAGGGTCGCCCGGAACCGCAGCCCCCCCATTTCCTCCTCGCCTGGCGGCCCCTCGTCTCCCCTCTCCACTTCCGGCGCGGGACCCCCATCCCAGTCCCCGCGCACCTCACGCGCCCGCAGTCTTGGGCCTCCGAGGGGCTGAATCCCTCGCGGCCGAGAATCCCTCCGTGACCTCGCGCCGCCGGGGCGCAGCTCGGGGTGGTCTCAGGGTACGCACCCCCGCCCCACCCCACCCGCCCGCTCCTCGCGGCCAATCCGCCGCGATGTTCCAAGCCACGCCCTGATCCGACCCGGCTCCCACCGCAGGGACCCCAGCCCCGCCTCGGCTTCCCCAGCCTGGAGCTACTGTGCGCCTCGGCCTCCTTGCCCCGCGGACCCCTCTGGCTCCAGCTGACAGTCTGGCCGGCCACACTCAAGTTGCTTGCAATCCCGATGCCCCCGCACCCTGCCCCTGGCAGCGCTGCCCCTTGCCAGGCCCAGGCCTGTGGCGGCCCTGGGCTCCCACGGCGGGAGCACACAGTCCCATTGTCTCAGTTATCTGCACTTTGTTACATTTGTTTGATTGTGCAGGTCTGGATCGGAGACACGGAACTCCGGGAGGGCTGAGCCAGCGTGACTCAGCCTGGTGCCTGGACTGCCTGTATGTAGGTGCTCAGGGGTATTTGGGGATGCACGGGGGCCTTGGTTTCCCTGGTGGGGCCAGAGGATGCTGCCCTCACCGACCTCTCCCCTGTCACCCTTCCCTGGCAAAGAAAGACATTCAAGGGTATAAAGGACACACAGTTTATTCAGAGGCCATCAGACCCCAGGCACCACCAGGATGTGCCTCCTGAGCTGGTCACTTGGGGTCAGCTAGAAGCAGGTGGAGATGGGGGCGTGTCCACAACCAAAGTAGCCAAAGGCACCCCTGTTCCAGGGGTCAGAGACTAGGGTGGACCCCAAGGATCCTGTGACCTGTATTGACCCTGAGTATTGACCCTGAGTATTGACCCTGAGTGACCTCTGATCCTGAGTGGCCCTGAGGCTTGGTAGCGACCTGTGTTCAGTGGGGGAAATCCTGGTACATTGCCCCAGAAAGGGTTTTAGTCTTCCCCCAGGCTGTGTAGTCTTTCCTTATAGGAACTCTCCAGAACCTCCAACATTGAACTCCTGGGGAGAAGTGGATCCATCTTCTCAGTCCTTGGCCCCTTGGTCAGAGTGCTGGGATGGTCAGAGATGGTCCTCGACTTCCTCAGGTTGGGGGTCCCGGCTACAGGTGGCCTTGGGCACAGCCTCGTTGTGCATCTTGGAGAGGAGCCGGGCTGTCTCCTGGGTGATCTCAAAATGCTTGGGCAGCGGCGTGCGGCGCAGGGGGCTGCCCTCAGGGGAGGCGGCGGCAGGGCCAGGCCCCCGCCTCCGCAAGCTTCCTTGGGGCACTGATGTGTCAGGGGTCTCTTCGCACAATTTGGAAGCCACCAGCGCCAAGCTGGACAGTTGGTGGGTGACAGGCCGCACGCCCCCCCGGGGATACTTCACTGGCTGGCGGCTGAAGTGGCCACGGGACTGTGTTCCCAGGGATGAGTCCTCAGGGCCTTGGCTGGGCGCTGTGGGATGGGATGGTCAATGCTGAGCCACCCTAAGTGCTCTGGATATCCCCCAGGGAGTCTCTCTCAGCCAAGCTACCCTGGGGCAGGGGCACCCCCAGAATTCCTTTGCTACTCCCTAACACACTCACCTTCCCTTCCTTCATCTTTGGTGTCTTCGGCCACTTCCTCTCTCTGGTCACTCTGCGGAGTTGGTATCTGTAAGAAGAAACCCAAGACCAAGACCCCAACAATAAAATCCCAGTTCTTCGAGACACTTGGAGAGCTGAAGGTTTGTTCCTGGATATATAAAAGTTTCTTTGCAGTTTTGGTGTCTAGGAAGAAACAATGCCCTTCACTGTGTACTGCTTGTCCCCCTGTGCAGAGGAGCATCATTAATCTTGATTGTGGGCTCCGGGAGGACAGCAGACGACCAGCCCAGGGAGCCATCTGCGAATTAGGACCTGGTGAACTACCCATCTCCATCCTGCTCTGCTCTCTGCAACATTACGCCCGATTTTTAGCTGTAGATTCTCACTGTTCTTCCTTTAGCTAAACGTTAACGGCAGCTGGATTTCTTTGTTAAGTGTCAGACATTGTAAGTGTCCTGAGCACTTCCCGAGCCATTCCAGTTCTCAGAGTCCCACAGCTCACCGTGCCCCTTTCCCAGGTCTGGGCTGCTGTGGGGGAGGTCTGTCCTGTCAGGAATGGTGGGTGTAGCAGGATCTGAGGGATGGCAAAGCCCCCTTTGGAAGACTCATCTGTACATGGTTTTCAATAACAGTATCTATGTTTTAGGGCTGTGGTGAGGAGGACAGGAAGCCTATAAAGCGCCTGTGCATAGGAGATATGCGGTCAATGGCTGCCGCTAGACCCTTCTTTGGCCTCACTTCCTACCATCTTCCCTTCACTCATTCATTTATAGTGCGGGGTTGTGCCCTGAACACACCAGGCATGCTCCCACCAAAGGGCCTTTGCACTGGCCGTTCTCTTTGCCTGGAACTCTTCCCCTGATTTCTACCTGGCTTCCTGCTCCCTCACATCCTTCCAATCTTAGCTCAAAAACCACCTTCCCCATGAGACTCACCCACACCATTCTATTTACTGCTACAAACTGCCTTCCACCTCTCACCTTGGTGCCCTTGAGGTCCCTTAATTTATGCTACTTTCTTTTCTCTATTATTCTTGTCACCTTGTAATATCCTATGTAATTGATTCTGTATCATATTTCTTGTTTGTTGTTGATTTCTTTCCCACTAGAATGCAGGCACCAAGAAGATGGGTTCTTTGAATATCCTGCTCACTGATGGATCTGTAAGGCCTAGAACAATGCTTGACACATAGTAGGTGTTCAAAAATATTCTGTTGAAGGAATGCACGATCACCCACGTTGTTACCTCTGCAAGGCTGTACCCTGCCATTCCTCCCTTATTACCCACCACTCCATTCCTCACTTTTCCTTCCAAAACAAGCGCAGGGTAAATAAGGAAGGGAGGGAGGGAATAAAGGAGAAATTTTTAGAGAGAGGAAGGCAGGCAGACAGGAGAGAGAGAATTAAATGGAGAGAAGGCTTTCCCCATGTCAGTGGACCCAGCAGGTTCCTACCTTGGGGGGCATGGCCTCAGGATGCTTCTCCAGGGTACCATGGGGCTCAGGGTCTGGGTCAGGGTCTGAGGTAAGGGCTGGGGGCAGGGGCTCTAGGGCAAGATGTGGGGGTGGTGGCTGGGGGCTGGTTGTGAGGGGCCCAGGGGCTGGGCTGGGGTCTTGGGGTGCGGGCTGGGTGGCCAGGGGGAGTTCATCCATCCCGAAGATCTGCTCGTAGTACACAATGAGGAGCTCCACAAGCTGGGCCTGGTGCCCAGAGTCCAGCAGGCAGGTGACAGGGCCGGCCCCCACTGCTCCTGGACCATCTGGCGGCCGCAGCAGTGTCGGCCCAAACACAATGCCCAGGTTGTTGGCAGACATCTTGTTTTCCTCAAACTGTGCAGCCACCCTAGGGACAGTGTAAGGAGAAGGGTCAGGGCATGGAGTGCATAGTCACTGGTCATTGAGTAGGACCTGCAGGCCAGGCTAGTGGCAACTTGCCCAAGTCTTGGTCATTGTTTGAGACCAGCAGCCACATGCCCGGCGATGGAGGTCAGGCGTCAGCACCCAGAGTTAGGAATCAAAAGGTATTAAAGTTCAGAGCTCAGAAAACACATGCAAAGGTTAGTCTCGGGGTCAGTCTCAGGGGTCAGTAGTCACAGATCAGGGGAAGGGGTCACAGATTTGTGCCTCAGGTCAGAAGTCACATTTCATGGTCAAGGACAGTGCACACCTGAACAGATGGGCCACCAGGTGCCGCAGGGTGTTGTAGTTAGAGTCAGGCAGCTGCACCAAGAGGGTCTTCAGCGAGCGGATAACCTCAGGGCTGGGGCTGGGGGTCCTGGGGTCGAGCCCAGGTTCTGCATGCAGGGTCTTAGCCAGAGAGATGAAGGCGTCGTAGAGGTGGAAGGGGACCACGGGGTCAGTGAGCTGGCGGTGGAATGGTGGGGGGACAAGGGTGTGGGTGGGCTGCAGAGGGTCCTCAGCCTGAGCCCGCCCGGCCCCTGCCCCCTGAGCTTCTGAGCACTCACCTCCTGGAGGAATCGCTTAAGGACACTCGAGACATCGTGAGGCGAGTTCCCGGACAGGTCCACCAATGCTCGGCCATTCTCTAAAGCCTGGCACAGCCGCTCCACGCGGACCCGAGACCCGCTGACCCGATAGATGCCCTGTAGGGCAGGGGCAGGAAATGGACACCTGACTTGCAATCTGGCCATCGAGAGGGCGGGTCACTACTGGGGATGGTCAAGGGCCAAGGGTCAAAGCAGCACCTGCACACCCAGGGCGCGCTGTTCTATCTCAGCTGTGCACCTGGTGATCACAAAGGGTACCTCCTCCGGGAAGTCTCTGGGCAGCTGCAAGAAGTCAACCCCAAAGAGGGGGGTCCGGGCTGGGAGCCGCCTGTGTCCACAGAGGATCAGCAGAGTCTCGAGGCAGCGCTTGTGGCAGGTCAGAAAGCACTAGGGGGAAGGTCACAGGTCAGAGAGGTCACTGGGGGTCATCAGGGAAGAGAAGGTCGTAGGGATCCTCAGGGGACTAGGGGCTCATAGGAGATCATCAGATCAGGGCAGGTCCCAGGGGCAGGAGGGTTGTGGGGATCTCAGGTCAGGGAGGTGGCTGGGGTCAGGGACGTCAGTGGGACATCAGTGAGGGTCAGCCAAGGTTGTTGGGTCATCAGCCCAGGCCACACCTCCTCGCACTCTGTCCCGCTGACCATGAAGGCCTCACACTCTCGGCACTTGGCTGGACCGCGCAGCCGTCGCAGCCGATGGGTCTGGGCCGCACTGGACAGTGTCCACTTCCTGAAGGGGCTGCCTGTCCCGTTCTCCAGCCCATCTCCAAGGTCTGCGGGGAGACAGGGTCAGGGATGCCTGGTCCAACCCCAACCCCACCCTGCCTGCTTCTAGCCTCACCAGGATCTCGCTCC